TCGCCTCTCTCGCTTTATACACATAAGTGTATAAATTATGTTTCTGTTTTGTATAAAGCGAGAGAAAATTGTATATACACATGCAAAAAAATATATTTTCGTGTTATACACTTAATTATACAATTTACAAACATTTTACTTCAAATATTGCAGAGAAAAAGGTCAACGAATTATATAATTGCGAATTATACAATTGCAGTGAAATACAATTTTCTCTAACTTTATACAACATAAGTGTATATATTGTGTTTCTGTTTTTGTATAAAGCGAGAGAAAAACATATATCTTCTTGCTATACACTTATAATTATGCAATATACATACATTTTAATTCGCTTTAACTGTATGCAAAGCAAATTCTATAAAAATATTGCAGCGAAATAGGCAGCGAATTATACAATTGTGCATTATACAATCGCAGTGAAATAGGATAGTTAATTATACAATTGCAGCGAAATAGGCCAGCGAATTATACAATTTTTATATGTATAGCGAATTATACAGTTTTATATTTGTTATGGAGCGTAATTATGCAAACTTTGTTATAGCATACAAATATAAATTTTTTATTTGCTATATGTGAAAGTTGCCCTTAATTTAAAGCAAAGTTTACCTTAAAAGAGCATTTTAAAAATAGAAAAGTTACGTGTATAAATAAACATATACAAGTTGATTATTTAATATAATTTAAGTTAATTATAATTCATGATTTACTTTTAGTTATAATTTTGCGGTTTAATCTTTTAGTTTTGTATAATTTAAAATTGGCATAATACATATATTGGACTCTAAACTTGACTTCAAATTTTAACTTTGGCCTCCAACTTTCATAATGCACAAAAAGGCACTTTAACTATTCAATTTTTAAATAAATAAACACATAAGTCCTACATGGCAAAATACACGTAGGACACCATGTAGGACAAAAAATGACATGTTATACATGTGTGTGTATTTGTTCAAGTTTATACAAGTTTAAGTGTCTACTTGTGCACACCCAAAGTTGAAGGGCATAAATGTGATTCGAAGCCAAGTTAAAGGGCATATTTATGTATTATGCCTTTAAAATTCGTATAATATAATTTGTATAATTTTTATATAATACGGAAATTGTATAACTATTCACACTTATGATGTTTGTAATTGTATAAATTCATTATTTCGAATTTATATAAAAATAAATGAATTATGTAAATATACTCGTGAATTATACAATAAGACAATTTAAACTATAGCAACTTATAGCTACAATTTGTAAATATATAAATTATGACTATAAAGTATAATTAAACTTATTATAATGACTATTTATAAAAATTCCTCTTTTAAGGATAACAACAGCGAACTTTCATTTCAACAAAGAAAAACTGATAAGTATTTTTTCCTATTCTTTTCATATTTCATATGTATAGAGAGAGAATACATAAAGGGGCAAATAGTTATCATTCATTTTATAAGTTTTTCAAAATTCAATATTTTTCTCTATTAGTATCTCATTAAATAGATATAAATTATTTATTTATGAATAATTTATTTGAAATCTAATCATCAGATTTTTCTACAATTCAAAAATTATAAATTCAAAGATTTAATTCTACATTTGATGAGATTTCACTATTAGAATCAAATCAACACGAAATATATAAACTACAGTTCTAAAGATAGACAAAAATAAGAGAAGAGAAAAGACGAAAGAAGAGTTAATTGAATCCAAAGTTAAGTAATCTTAAAGTGAATATAAAAGAGAAATTCACTTAAAATCTACAAACGGGTGACTCAATATAAAATCAAAAGCAATTAACCTCAATATAACTTAACGATTACATGAATTATACACTAACTATATATGAAGTATATACAAATTATTCAATTCTGACTAACTTAAATCCTCTAAATAAATTTAAATTTTAGATATGAAATTCTCTCTATGTTTCGAATTTTTTGATATATTATTTACTTAAAATGTGAATCATTTACAATATATTAATTTTTTTAAAAGAGGAGAAGTAAATGTAATCAGTAAAAAAGAGAAGGGTAGACCGGAGGAATTTGACACTAGTCATCCATAAACTTCGGTATATTTTTAACTTCATTATATGTCTCGACAATTAATAATATGTTATTGACAAATAGAATATATTATGATATCACTGGATATGTTATTCATCACCAAAACATATAAAAACATGTTAATCATGTTACAGTTTCATCCCGATAATTGCTCCGGCCTCTGCATCTCCTTCAATAGTCCTCACCCAAGTCTTGACTTCATCATATACCGTTGTCCTTAATAGTCCTAAATATAAGCAGGCATTTAGCCTCCAAACATCTCTATAAAACACCTAAGGACTTCATCGTATATTTTTTTAGGCTAATATAAACATTATATGTAAGTCTTTCTTTCTTTCCCTATACTACTCCAATATCAATCTCCGAATGAGATGAATAACTTCTAAAGTGGAACACCTAAACATGAAATAGACAATTGACTAATCCTTATCTCCATCACCCTCTCTCATATTTTTATAGTGTAGCTTGACAGTTTGAAATCTCTATAGTTATTGTAATTCTGAATATCACTCTTATTTTTATACTAGTTTCTGATAAGGTGCGTTGCACGTTTATCCCTTACTATTATTACAATTTTTTATTTATTTAAAAGTGAGTTATAAGATATAAAATATTGAAATTAACAATATTAATTTTACTATATATTTTTATAATTCATTAAAATAAATCATAAAATAGAATGGTGCATTTGCTATCAAACCAGAAATATGTGAAACTCTGACTGTAAAGTATGTCTATGAACTCCTCATTGAAAAAATAATAAATGTATCTATGCTTTTAATGAAATAACAAGGCGCGAGACAAATTTATCAGAAATATAAATTTCAAATTACATACTCCGCATGCTACAACAAAAAGAACCTAAAATAAGTACCAAACAAATGACTTATTTTTCTATAAAGCACCTAAACATCAAAGTTTAACAACAATTATAAGATTGTCTTGAGAATGCAATTACTTGTGATAAGTCCACAGGTCTACATATCCTTATTGAAACTAAGTTATAAAAATATTCGGATAAATCTATATACTTTGAATTCCAAGAACACTTTGAATTGCATCACAAATTAATCTAAAAGAGGCATATTCTACAATAAGAGGTCAGCGTTTTAAGAAGATAACAAAGAAATAGTGTTAAAAATTTGAAACCTTCCAATTTAACAAAAAAATTTGATGAAGGGCATGGGATGCAAGGGGACTATGACATTTCTAGGAACACAAAATCAGTTTCGCACCGTTGTCGCTGTCGAAAAATCGATGTAGGCACCACACTTCATATGATTGTCTTAGAGTCTTCGATTTCTTAACTTAAATGGTGTTCCTATATCTTCCATGCCTTTTGAAATGTATATGAAGATGAAATGATTTACCTAAAGATGAAACATAGTTTCTTTATTTACGTGAAGAAAGTCATTATTCACTTGGAAAAAGATTTATTACTTTCAATTGTCTTTTCGCTTACCCTATTCATGGTTATTTAAATTTAAGTTTCATATTGTTGTCTTTTCAATTATCCTAATTATTGTAATTGAAATGTGAATTTATTTTTTAGATAATTAAAAATTAAAATATTATGCTTTTATTTTCATATAATGTTATATATATTCAAATAATGTCCAAATGAAGGGCAAATTCATAATTTAACTTTAAGCTAAGGGGCTTCCCACTTATAATATAATATGATAATAAAGGGAAAAAACTTAAATATGTCACTGAACTTTCAGAAAATGCTCATTTATGCCACCAGTTAAAAATTTGGCTCATTTATTTCATTACCGTTAAAGAAAAGGATATTCATGCCATTATTTTTTAACGATAATTTTACAAAACCATTTTTAACGCGTGGTCAATTATAATTTGACCACGTCATCAAAATTTAAAATAAGAAAAATCATAATTCTGAATTTTTTTTGAATTAATCATGATTTTAACAAATCAGTCGATCATTTCTAATATCATAAAAATAACATTAAACAACTCAGTCGATCATCCCATAACATTAACTTATTATTTTATTCCCCTTGTTAGAATTCATGATTTTACCACTGATGAAATAGACTATCCTTTGAACTCTCATCTCATGAAAATCTTTATTGTCAAATGTCAAATAGAAAATAGAATATTGGAATTTTCTTTTTTGATAATTTGAATATTGAAATTTTCCATATGTCCAATGTAGATATACACAATTTGTTAATTTTGTTTGTTTCCAAAATAATTCAGTGGATTATTGAGGACCATGGAATCAAGTACTTTTCCTTTAAATAGATTAAAAGGTAAAAGGCATTTTTCACAAAGAGTTTCAAAAATCTAGATGAATAGTGAAGGTTGAGAGCAATTATCTAACCATTTTTAATACTGATTTAATACCTAAAAGAACCCCCAATATGTTTCTGTTTTATCAATTTAATAGTTAAATTATGGATTGTTATTATTACCTAATTAATGATGCATAGTATCATATTTCAAGTTACATATATATTTAGATATATGTATTTTTGCTATAAGACACTAAAATAGGGAGAGAGACAGTCGCGATAAGAGAGATCTGAATGAGAGAGTCAGATACCTATGAATCTAATTGGATACAATGTATATAGAGAGAGAGATCAAATTGAGCCTAATTTTGACTTCATATATCGTGATACATGTATCTCGACGTATTTAAACGTGTCATATACATGTATTCAAAGTCCAAAATCTAATAAAGTTCGTAATATTGTAAACTAGAGTGAATCTAAGTATTTATCTCCTAAATTAGTGACATTTATATAAATTGGAATTTTATTAGGCTAATATAAAATGTAAAAAATCATCTATCTAAAAGAATCAATAGTGTTTTGAGTAGTAAATTTGATCAAGAAAAGAATATTGGAGAACATGAAGGTGACATGAGAGGATGAAAAAAAACCGGGCCCAAAAGACTATTCAATATTCAATATTTATTTTAGGGTCTGACAAAAAATCACACCTAAAAAACCTAAAATATTTCCCATATCCAAAGCTATTCCATATTCGAGTCTCAAACTCAAATGCGAAATCTCTAATTATCATTTCATCACAACCTTTTACGATGGATAAGGTCTTCCTCCCCTTTTGTAGATTCTTTTTTTCCAAACTTTTTTCTTAAAACATTTGTGCTCTCTTTTAAAGCCCTATATGTCATTTCCATCTATAAATAGCAACTCAAATTCATAGTTATAATTCAAGGTATAGCAAATTCATAATACACACTTGCTCTCCTACATAACCAAAAACTCTATTTCATCCCCCTTCACTTCAATCTCCTAAAAAATGTCGGACAAGCGTGGTAGTTACAATTATGCTGACATTAACAAATGTGTGTAAGTAATTATCGATCTTTAAATTTATATAACGTAATTTAACCGAGCACACATAATTTAACAAAAAAAAAAAGAGTACTACTTTTTAACCTTGTGATTGATTTAATTCGCTTCCAATATTAATTAAGTTTAGATGTATAATCATGTCAAAGGAAAAAAGTGCCTTTCCACTTTCGAAATAGATAGAAGTGGATTTAATATTTTATATTGATTGGTCATGTGAGACATTGTTACAATTAAAATGTAAAGCTAGCAAAATAAATTTTGGAAAATCACAAATAAGAAGCAAAATTATCAGAATTATTATATAAAAAGAAATATAATTATTTAACATGATTCGAACAATAATTGCTCTAATCTACAAATAGATATGGATTAAAGTTATTAAAAAACAAGTAAAAATAACGTAAAAAAAATAGCCTCATTTTATTTACTCAGAATAAAATGATATACACAAAAAATAACGTAAATTTTGTATATATCTCACAAATATAGCTATAACATCCACTAATTCTTTTATCATAATTTATGTGAATTTCTATTAATAAGTATTTTGATATTTTTTTTTTACCTTTTAGAACCTTTTAGTATATATAGTTCAAATAAAAAATAATGTATATTAATGTAAAGTAATTTGTTAATGTAAATATTTCAGGAAGAAGGAAAACCAATATGATATGGCCTTCATCGACAAGAGGTAATTTGGCGATTTTTAGTAATATTTTATGTATCTTTTTAAAAAAATACTTGCGAATTAACACCCAAAATATTAATTGATTTTTGATACTCGTATTTCAATCATGCAAAATAGTATTTTTTTTTTCATTAAAATTTTCCACTAGAAAAAATAGTTATATGAGAATATTTTTCATCGTCTGCTTTCCTAAAAATCTCGAAAATGAATGAAAAAAATCATATCTTATAGAATAATTGTTCATTCATTCTTGGTGAAAAAAACTTTATGCCTAGTAGATTAAAACAAAGGCAGAGCAAAATAGATTACTAATTCCCATTAAAAATTTTGGTGCATGTGTTGTCTTTTTGTCTTTCTTGCTATAATTAGAGTCGTCAATATGGGTTAGGTCTGTTGGATCGGTCTGACCTAATTCTGTATTGCATAGGGCTGAGCTACGATTTTTGGAACCCATTTTAGAAAAGAATTTTTTAGTTCGTCCTGAATAAACCTGCTGATTTGGGAGCTTGAGAAATATCGATAGATTCAACCTGTGGGCCATTAAAAATTAATCAAAATATATGATATAATATTAAATTTTAAAATTAAAGAAAGTTCAAACTCAAATAATTAGGTTAATATTTCTATTTAGATATTTATACTTTTATTTGAAAAAGAACTTAATAAATAATATAAAGATAATTTTCTTTGTGGATTTGATTAAAAAGTAGTAATATTAATATCATGTAATATTCTTTTGTTGATATTTATGATAATATTTTTAAATTATAATCTATAATTTTATTTAATAATTCTAAAAAAAATATAACTTTTATAAAAGTGGGCTGACCCGACAAACCTGTAGCCCATATACTTGTGGGTCGAACCGATCATTTTCTGGCCCACACAAAAAATGAACTAGCCCGACCTGACCCGTAAAATATCGATACAGCGAGATGATGGCGATGATGACATTGGAGTTGAAGAAAATGATGGAAACTGCAAATGAAAATTGCAAATGTGGCAGCACTTGCGCCTGTGTGAACTGTACTTGTGCTCATTAAAAAATGTCATAAACAAATATTTATCTAAAATTATATGAGTAATATGTGTTTAAATGAAATAATGGTACTTTGATATTTGTGGTGTAATAAGAGTTCCTTAAACACAAAATGTAAAGGGGTCAAGTACTCTAGTTAGTGTCTTTGTCTCTTTTGGTCAAGTTTGTAGCATAAGTTTTGATTGTTAAATAGACTATTACTACTTATTTCGTTTGTCTCAATTTATTTGATCTACTTAATTTTGTTTTTTACTTTATAAAAAATGACAATAATTATTTCTATTAGATTTTTAATAGTTTTAAATATTACTTCATCTACCATATTTCATACTTAAGATACATAAGTTTGAATTTGTGAGATACACGTATCTGTCGAAAATTAATTGATTATAATCAATTTTCTTAATATAAGGCGGAAATCAAGAAGTGTATCTATTTTTAATTAATTTCATTTTATTATTATTTGAAATAATAAATTTGTGAATATTATTTATAAATAAAAAAAAACATATATATCTTGGTCATGCAATTTAATTAATATCATGTTATTACTCTTTAATTAATAAAATTTATTAATTTGACGTATCTATTATCAATATATGATGTATCCAACAAACAAAACACTTAGATACATGAGTATCATACAAAGTAGAATCATATGTACCATAGAAGTATCTAATACTAATTTTGTGTAATATGTGTCTAGTATTAATTTCATGTATTTATTATATGATCTAATTTTAATTTCATATATCTATTATTAATTTGATGTATCAAGTATCAGTTTCATACATTATATCCAAAAGCATGTATCTTGGATACATATCAATATTCATATTCTTTTTTGAATTATGAGTCATTGAAATGGAGCAAACAATATAAAAACCTGTAATATATTGGCTAGAAAAAATCTAAAGCATTGAATCAAATATATGATATGATTGAAAACAAATATACAATGGAAAAATCAAAGAAAATCTTACTTTGCACTTTAACTAATGTTGATTATGTAGAGTTTGATATGAATTTAGCACATGAAAAAGGGAATAAAAATGGTTAAGGATAAAGGGAATGTGTGGGAGTGGGAATGAGATACAAACTTTTTTTTGTGTGTGTGGTAGGGGAAGGAAACGTTTAATGAAGAAGAAGAAGGGGCAATGGTGAGATACATGATGTATCTGTTTTGGGATTTGGGAAGGGAATCAATCGAAAAGAATAAAGATAAATTAATTTGAATTGTTAGTGTCTTACTAATTGATATGTACTTTTAAGATTATTATACATTATCATATTTAAAAGGATTATGTATCTGATTTTTTTTTTAAAAAAAATATGGTATACTTTTTTAAAAGTGATATTCTACTAATATTTTAAAAATAGAGATAAAATATGTATATATGGTAGTTACGTATGGATAGATAGGTAGTTTCCCCTTTAACTTTTCATCTATAATTTTAAGTGATCACATATCTTACAACTATAGATAGGTAGCTTTTCCTTTATCTTTTGATCTATACTTTTAAATAATCACATATTTTACGATTAATTAAGAATTTTTTATCATATATTGAGAAAAATACACTTATATACATGAATTTTTAATATAAAATACACTAAAGTAGGGAGGGAAACAAGCAAGATGAAGATGAAGGTGAGTGTGAAAATCATGTATCTCTAAACATGTGAATCATACCATATACATGTATCTGATGTGAATCGCATGCATTTGTGATATTGATACATAAGAGACTAACAAAGGAGACGACCGAGAGACGTATGTATCCCAAATATATGCGAATATACAATGTATTTAAAATAAATTATACATAATTTTAACCTCATATATTTGTATGCATCAAATCTGAAAAGAAATTATAATTCGTAATTATAAACTAAAGTGTATCCAAGCAATAAGCTCTTAAACTAATTTTGATAAGCTTCCCTATCTAATTATTTTTAGGATAAATTACCTATATGCACATCTTTATTTTTTATAATTTCTATTATTCCCTACCATTTTAAAATATTTTTAAAATCTCTTATTTTTTTTCAATTCTCAAGTCAATAAGATACATAAATATCACAGCCTTAACACACAATTTTTCTTCCTTTTTTCACTCCTTAAATCTCTCCCTAATTTCATTCCATAATCTTAGTAGTTACAATTTTCATATCAATTTGATTTACAAAAGGATTCTCTCTCCACTAAATCAAATTTAAACTACTTTCTTCAATTTTATTTTTTTTCTTCAATATTTTCTGATATAGTGTGTCACCTCCATAGTCGTCTTCTTCAATTTTATTTTATTTTCTTCTTATTTCTTGATACATACGGATTAAGATCCTTATTTTAGTATTATAATTGCTCAACTAGTCGAAGAAGGATGCATCTACGACTTCTAAATAGATTGTGAAAAAAGCGGTCAAAAAGATGAAAAAAATTAATCTACTGGTGGTTTTAGTAAGGACTTTGGATCGAGATTCATGAATGATGTCTATGTTAATAGTTAAAAAAACATACAAGGATAAATGTAGAAAAAAATGGATGTATATTTATCTTCTTAAGTGAATGTTGAGAAGGAGAAGTCGAAATAGATCAAATTGTTGATTTTCTTGTTCATCTTTTTCTGATATATATGGGTTCAGATTTTTAATGTATTATGTTGTTTTTGTTTCTTAAATTATTGTATAATACTTTAATTTCAACAGTATGATATATTACAAGTTCATCATGTACAATGTATCGCGTTTAAATACTAAATTATCTTATGATTATAGTTTGTAATACATTGATTGTTTTTAATGTATCTAGTTAACTTTGTTTCTCAAATTAATGTATAATCTCCTTGTTTCAACAATTTGATACATTACCATTTTATCATGCATAATGTATCGTGTTCAAATATTAGTTTTGATACATAAACTTAATTAGTTTTCATACTTGATACAAAATTTCTACCAAATGTATCATGTATCTAGGTGTTTCTACGTATCTTCTTATGTATCCGTACACAATACATGATACATTAAAGTGTCGCACAAGTATGTATTATATTCATAAATCGTGATATGTAAATGTTATTATTAAAAGTCTATTTAGTTTGAGGCGATATGTGAAGATCTTGAAGATCATGTACACAGTATTTTGTCATTTAAACAGTGCTAATATCAAATATTTTTATCAAACACAACTATACAAATTGTGTGTTAGATATATAATTTTATAGAATACAATTTTACATCTATTAAATCGTAGAACTGATACATGATACTCTATATTGTATCATATACACAACATTCTATTTTTGCATGAGCAAGTACACAATTTTTAGACATGATACATAAATTTGAATTTATACTAATGATATCTAATACGTTGATACTATCACAAAGTAATGTATCAGTCTCAAACCTAACATTTGTATGGAAAACAATTACATAATGTATCTAGTAGAATTATAACACTTATCAATTTAAACGAGATACATAAATAGTAATATATTTATAAATATATCCATATCAAAAATAAAATTCGAAAAAATGATTACGCAACATTACAAAAGGTTTGAATGATCTATCAAAGCTATGCATATCTTAGCATTTGTGTTTGTTGTTTCAATGCATAACAAATACATTGAAAATCGTAACTCTTGTTTCTTCACCTCAACGATGTATTAGATCTCCAAAATTTTCAACAACTTATCGATCTTTAGTTCAACTACGATGGTTGATTTGTGATTCACAAATCAATATTTTGACCAACAACAATTTCATCACTTTTGTATCGTTCATATCTCACCTCACTTTCTCATATTTCGAAATGTCTCAACAAGATCTACATGTTCAAATTGTATCATTACAATTTGTTGACAAGTTGATTCAAAAAATTGAGATTTTTTTTAGAAAGAACCAGAAGAAGAATTTTGGGATACATTAACTAGATTTTAATGTATTATGAAGTACAAATTGAAATGGACAGTAGCTTCTTTGGTCATCTCCTACTGGTGCCCACTGTCGAGATGAGATGAAGAGGAGGCCAAGCAACATAATCAATATTTTCCTATGATTTCCTTCTGCTATATATCGAATTTCCAAGTTTTTCCTCATCTCATCGATATACTGCAATGGTGAATTTGAGATTCACACAAAATTTTTATTTATCCAACTACTATTCATTATGCATCTTATCAAATTTTTGACAAATTTGAATGATTATTTGATGAACGAGACGATGATTAATAAGAAAAAAATGAACTTTGAATTTTTTTTTATTCTGAAAGGATTTCCATTTGAATGAATATTTGGAAGAGAATTGATGGAAGAAAATTGGTATTTTGAATTGACTGAAGTTGTTACCATTTGGGAGATATTAACATTAAATTAATTAGCATGATTTGGGGAAGTCACATTCAAAATGAATTCTCTTTTCTTTAAAAGTGTAACTGAATTTGTTTTAATGTATAAAATTTATGTATCCAACTCGTTTGCATGTATCCGAACAACACTTATTTTGAGAGATTTTTATAAATTAAAAAATAATAGAAATAGAATGTAATTTAGGTTATTACATTCTGGAATTTAGGTAAATTATACTTGTTTTTACACTATTATTATTAGGCTTCTTTATGGTTAGGCCTTTGGCCCAACAACCTGGCCAACCGTTGTCCAAATAAATGGCCCAGAATTATCTGAGTTATCCATATTATTACGTATAACTTATCTAAATTTCATAATTTTAGTATGAAATTACAACTTATCCTATTTAGTTTGTAATATATATTAATTTCTTAAAAATAAACACAAATTGAATATATAATATATAGCTTGAATATATTTTAACATAGCTCAAATATATTATATATAGCTCGAATACATTAAATATTGACTTAAGTATATTAATGTGTTACTTGGATACATAAAATAAATAACGAATTTTAGAAATTATTAAAAGTAAAAAGAGATATTGAAAACAAAGTATTTTTTTTAATTATACACCACAATTTTATGCATATATATGTTATAAACCCCTCATGACAACTGGCTGTGTCCCCAATACAAAAAGCATTGATGTTTCCATCTCTACATAATATATTTCACTGTGAAATAAAATAAAAAATTGAAATCTTCATCATTATAATAAAAAATGATTTTGAAAATTAAAGTTATTCTTTAATCATAAATATAAATCAAAGTTATTTTTTACTTTTTATGAATAACTTAGT